GCCCGGCCTGCCGGGCCCTGTGGTGCAGGCCCCGGGCTGCCGGCCCCAGCCCTGCGTTGGTCTCTTCTCCCGAGTAACAAGCGATAGGACAAGAGGCCTCAGGTTGTGCCCGGGGAGGCGCAGAGTGGCTGTTAGAAAGAAGTTCTTCATTGCCAAGTACCTGGACAGGCTGCCCGGGGCGGTGGTGGAGTCACCGTCCTCGGATGGTGCCTAAAAGCCATGGAAATGGGGTGGCTGAGGGACGTGGGTTGGTGGTGGCCTTGGCAGTGCTGGGTTAGCGGTTGGACTCGGTGATCTGAAGGGTCTTTCCCAACCACAAGGAATCCATGATTCTGTGGTACCCAGCACAGCATGGGGGTCTGGTCAGACATGCAGCCGTTTTCACATTCCCAGGGTGCCCTATGTCATGGCTCTGCCCCTGACTCAAGTGATTCCCTGTATTTTTTCAGGACTTCCCTGGAAATCACCATTTTACCTTGTGGTTTTGAGGTACTAATTAAAGCTAAAATGCTTTTTGGAAACCCTAACTCTTCAGCACTTCTCCAAAAATAGTGGAAGTGTTATAAAGGAGGTTTGTGAAATGCAGGAAGATGTGGCTTAGGATAGCTCTACAAAGAGCTGGATTGCCTTGTCAGCTTGAGTCCACTCAAACCAAAAAGTGCTTTAATGGACCTTGACAACATGTGAGTTATGGGGAGGATGGGGGCTGCTCCCTTAAGGGAAATCGTGGCCAAGCTTGTTGTTGCTGCTGAGGTGTCAGGAAAGGCTATTAGGTTTGTTTGGATACAGATAAAAGAAATGACAAGCTAATCCCTTTGTGAGCAGATAGTCCTGGTTATTCAGGGGCCTTCCCAGTGCAGTAAAGCAGCAGCAACAGTGGGAAGTTGAAGCCAGACAACCCAAAGCTACAAATACTTTGGATCCACAAGGATCTGGGGTCAGCTGATGTCAGCCTGTCTGCTTGCATTTCTTTTAGGGAACTGTTTTCACCATCTCAGAAGTACCAGCTCCTGGTCTATCATGCAGACTCCCTCTTCCATGATAAAGAATTCAGGAATGCTGTCAGTAAGTACACCATGGCCTTGCAGCAGAAAAAGGCATTGAGTAAAACTTCAAAAGTAAGACCTTCCACTGGGAATACTGCATCAACTCCCCAGAGCCAGGTATTTCAATTAATGTTGCTGAGTCAGTACTGTAGTGATTATGGATTTCTTATGTCAAATAAACCTGATATTCCAGGCTGATCCATTTTGGAAATGTCACTGTGGTGTTTTCTAATGCAAAGCTTCATCTGGTCTCAAACATGACATCTTTTGCATGTGTAGTTCATGAAGACAGTAGCAGTGTGAGCTTGGCAGTAGGTTGCATTGTTAACTTTCCTGAACTGGGTTTTTTTCAACATAGTAGAAGCATTTAATGAGGAAACCTTATTAATTTTTTTTATCATTGTACCTAAATCCTTCTTTCTTTTTTTTTTTTAATTTCAGTGTTTACCATCAGAAATTGAAGTGAAATATAAAATGGCTGAATGTTACACAATGCTGAAGCAAGATAAAGATGCCATTGCTATTCTTGATGGAATTCCTTCCAGGCAGAGGACTCCAAAGGTTGGTTCTGGCAAGTGTTTGTCACGAGTCCTTGGTCAGTGGATCTTAAATCTGTAAGCCAGTGTCTGTTCCAAAAAAGAACACAGACCATAGGTGTAATGTCACTGGGCCTTGGTGTTTGCTTTTGTGTTCATGTTGTTTGGAAACACTTGCTAATGTTTACATTAACTTGGTTTATTTGGCCTCTTTAAAATCAGACAAATTTTAGAATTTCAAATTCTTAGAAGGATGGATTTCAATTCTTAGAAAGAATTGAAAGCAAAGAGTTAAATGTTTGTTCAAACTGTTCAAATCTTCATCCTTTTCTAATAGCAGTTTAGATAATGGTAAACATTTAGATCCCATTGTGGCCTCAGGGTTGAGTCTTTGCTGCTGGCTCTGTTATGTCAGAAGGGCTGGAAAGATGAACCCATCAGGTCAATCAGCTGTGTCATGGAAACAGTGTTCCTGTCTTGGAATGTCCAGCTCTTCTGTTGAAAGACCAACTTGCAGAACAGAAAAAGATTGAGAAAAGCAAACTTTTAACCTATGAACACTAGTAAAATCAGGTGATGGTGAGAGAAAACAGTTACTTGTGCAGAGCTCAAATACTTTCTGTTCTTTGAACCATCGTGATGATGATTTCAGCTTCATTCAGAAGCTGAATGGAAACTTTCTCTGCCTTCCTAAGAGAATTCTCTCAGACTTCCATTGACCTGGAGAGATCAGCTGGAAGTGCAGAGTTTTACATTTGGGGAAGAACAACACCATGTCCCAGTACAGGTTGGGGGCTGAACTGCTGGAGAGTAGTGTAGGTGAAAGAGACCTGGGGGTCCTGGTAGACAGGAGGATGACCATGAGCCAGCAATGTGCCCTTGTGGCCAAGAAGGCCAATGGCATCCTGGGATGCATTAGAAAGGGTGTGGTTAGTAGGTCAAGAGAGGTTCTCCTCCCCCTCTATTCTGCATTGGTGAGGCCACATCTGGAGTATTGTGTCCAGTTCTGGGCCCCTCAGTTCCAGAAGGACAGGGAACTGCTTGAAAGAGTCCAGCGCAGAGCTACGAAGATGCTGAAGGGAGTGGAACATCTCCCTTATGAGGAAAGGCTGAGGGAGCTGGGTCTCTTTAGCTTGGAGAAAAGGAGACTGAGGGGTGACCTCATCAATGTTTACAAATATGTAAGGGGTGAGTGTCAGGGAGATGGAGTTAGGCTTTTCTCAGTGATGACCAGGGATAGGACAAGGGGTAATGGGTGTAAATTGGAGCATAGGAGGTTCAAGGTGAATATCCGAAAAAATTTTTTTACTGTAAGAGTGACAGAGCCCTGGGACAGGCTGCCCAGGGAGGTTGTGGAGTCTTCTTCACTGGAGACATTCAAAACCCACCTGGATGAGTTCCTGTGTGATGTACTCTAGGTGACCCTGCTCTGGCAGGGGGGTTGGACTAGATGATCTCTCTAGGTCCCTTCCAGCCCCTAAGATTCTATGATTCTATGATTCTATGAAGGCTGGTGTAACTGATGCACAGTCCTTCTTGGCATCATATAGAAGTGCATGTAGATGCAAAATGCTGAGATTTCAAGATGCAAATACAAAATAATGTAAGATTTATCTTGGTTTTAGAGGCAAGAATGTGAATGTTGTATGG